GATGACAACCTACAAATGTCCAGGGGACGCAAACATTCAGTCCCTAACAAGGAGCCTCTGCTGGAGTGCAGGTCCATTCAGAAGACAGAAAACACACAAGCTGTTTGAATAGAGAGAAGGCAATACAAACAATATTTGATAACTAGCTATACAATTAACTAGTTGACTGAAGTGGTAAAGAGAGAGTGCTGATTTATCCTTGAGTGAACAACCTCTCAGAGTGAGTTTAACCCTCTCTGGCCTTATTCCTGAAAGCTGAGGAAAGGGCATTCAGAGAGAGACGGGGCGGGAATGATGGGCACTGTTTCCGACAGTGCCGCGTGCTGCACTACGGATGTCCCACGTATATTCTCCCCAGGAAATACTTGGGCTGTTGCTTCACATTCCCATGGGCTCACATCGACTTTTCTTCTTCTCCCACAGGAAATGCAACATGTGATGCCAGAGTAGGTAATCTGAGATAAAATCACAGAGTGTCAGAATAGGTTAGAAGGCTATTAGGTGTCATTTAATACAATGCTGCCTCAAGTTCAACTGAGCTTGGTGAGGCCCAGAGAAGTTAAATTCTGTGTCCTGTGTCCACATCTCTAAATAACGGGTGACTGGTAACTGAGGCTTAGTTCTTCTGAACATCAGTCAAGGGCTTATCTCCTACCTGCCTGGCAGAAAATGGAAAGCCAAATCCTATTAATCAGTCAAGTCCATGGCACCTAGAACAGAGTTATCCTTTCTAGGATTTGCAGAAGAATGAGCACATGAGAAAATGAGAAAAACAAACAAAAACAAATAAAAAACCCCAATAACAACAACAAAAAACCAGGGCTGCTCCCTGTAAACTTATAAGCTGTGAAATTCCACAAACACCACCCAGTAAGATGTCTTCGTAAGATGGACATTTCACTATTCTATTTCAGTCTTAAAAATAATCGTGCTCATGCTGGGAGAGCTTCTTTGGGAGCTTTCATTCATTCATATCATATTCATTTACTTGTCCGTGCAGTCTGAGCTCTGACCCTGTCTCACGAGAAGAGAGTCAGGACACAGAGGCACAGAGGAAATGTGCCCATGTTGCAAATTCGGTTCTGGGAACTGTTTTCAAAGGAAGCATCAAAAACTTTAAGTGCTCCCAAAGGATAAGTTTTAATACAAATTTCATAGGAACCAAGCCCTCATGTCTAAGATATAAAAGCGTTAGGGAACTTGAATACTCATGGCTGAATAATGAGAATATCGTTCCTACAGGCAGACTGTGGGAGATCATCGTTCAAAATATCACCCCCCCATGCCCTCCAACCTCCATGGTGCTGGTGGGGGGATCACTTCCCTGCCCTATTGCTGTTCTGCTCAGGCACGTGACTTGCTTGCACCTAGAGGATGGAGCAGACACAACACAGCAAAAACTCACAACGTGTTTCAGGGCTGGACTGCTATTGTGTGCTCTGCTGTCACAGTGAGAGCCTCCAAGTGCTCCCCCTGCCTCTTAGGCCACAGTCAACTCTGTGGAACAGACATGAGCCGATCCTACAGGAAGAAACAGATCCAGCCACACGTGCAGGTGGAAGTGTAGCCACCCAGCTGATGGCAGCCAGAAGGCACCAATCTGCAGATGACATTCAGACACAACAGTAAATAAATGCAGCCAGGAGCCATGGCTCTGGTGACTTGTTACATAGCATTAGATTGGCAACAGTGGCCTGACCCACAGACGTATCAGAAAGGGAAGCCATAACTAGAATTGTATTTGATAAGCAGAGAATTAGAACAGGCAAGAGAAATTTTACAAACTCGGCATGTATAACTTAAGTCAAGCCTCCTGATGCATCTATCCGACAGCAGAAATGATCTAACAGGGGACAGCAGAATATATGCAGTAACAGGAAGTCCACCCCTGGTCCCTTACACAGCGCTCTGGGAGACTTCCGGGTCTTATATCAGCAAGTCTTGTTTTTCCTGTGATTCCAGGGCAGGCTCACCTCTCTCTGATGAGTGACTGGGTCTTTAAACATGTTCAGAAAAGGTCAAGGATAAGAAAGGCCCATGCAGACACATGGACCACTCTGTTCCCTTTAGGTGATTACAGATTTTTGAAGTTCCAATCTATTTTCAAATACTTAGGTGATTTATTAAAGACTCAAAACACTGACAGCATCATTTATAATCCCTTTCTTTGTATTGATGGAGACGAGAGTTTAGAATAACTAACTTACAATCATAACATTAGTAAAGAGTGGATCTAAGCCTTCCAAATTAGTGGGAATTCCAACGAATGGTGGAGTGTTTTAAAAGTTCTAAACATTCTTTTTATAATGTTCAGCACGTGTAAAATCAGGAAAAAGCAATTGCATCACTTAAACCAGTACTCTTCAAGGCAAAGGACACCTTGGGATAATAATAGAATGCAGAAAGCCTTGTTTACATATTGAGTGTGTATGTTCACCGAAAATCCTTCCCTGCTCCGACAGACAATACTGCTTCTATCAGCAACAACCCAAAGCACACAAATAAGTACACTTTATGCAACAGGAAACGTCTAGATCCAGCAGTGACTTGGCATCAGACTATCAAAATAAATTTTGAAAAATAATTAATTTGTGTAATGCTTTGAAAGGGCATTTGCACTTGGCATTTTGATGGATACCTGGGGTAAAGGCCAACACAGGCCTGGGTTGAAATAAAGCCTGCTTAGGTAAGGCCACCGATGGGGATGAACTGTGCTCCTGGGTGTCCACAGGCCTGGGTCCTCACCACTGCTCTGTCACTAGGGTGCTTTGTGACCTTGCATGTTACTCCTTCTCAGAGTTTGAGTCTTCTTATGGGTGAAATAGGCAGACAGATAGGAGTATTCCTTAGCTCTTTTAGTTTAGAGATTCTTTTATCTCTTATTTGAGAAATAAGATTCAGCAAATACTCATCTCATGGTCTCCATTGGACCAAACAGCCTATTTTGCTCCCACCCATGGAATTTGTGCATTTAATACTCTACAACACTCCATGAAGTTGCTAGTATCTTGATTCCATAAAAGCAAAAATGGCAGTTTGAACAAAATGTTACAATCAAAATGAGGATGTGATAAAATTCAAATTCAGACTCAAGAATCAGAGCTCTTTCCACTAACCAGCACCATGAAGTGGGGGAGGGGAAGCATAGTATTTTAGAAGGTCAAAAAGAGTGGAGGGACCATGAAGACACTGAGACAGAATACAGCTGTGAGGACAAGACTCACACTCCAGAATTTGACATTTCTAACCCGAGATGAATTCCACCTGTGTATGAACAGAAATTGTTCTCTCCTTGTCATGTTCTATCACATTTTTTAAACTTTATATTTTTGAGAGAGAGAAAATACATGAGTGGGGGAGGGGCAGAGAGAGAGAAACAGAGAATCTGAAGCAGGGTCTGCACTGATAGCACACAGCCTGATGTGAGACTTGAACTCATGAATCATGAGATCATGACCTGAGCTGAAGTTGGACACTCAACCTACTAAGCCACCTAGGTACCCCCCATCTATCATTTAAAACAAGTATAGGAGAGTTGCCAAAAAAAACCCTAACTGGAGAAAGTACAGATTTTCTATTAAATATTAAGCCATATAGCTTTTTCCTTCATAAATGAATGAGATCCAAAACATAAAAATAAGAAAAATTTACTCCATTGAAACAAAAATAATATTAGTACAAAGTCATCCCTGACAGAATTTCCAGAAAATAGACAACATCTATTTATTTTAGTGTTTGGTCATTAAAGACAGACTTAGCAGGGTGCCTGGGTGGCTCAGCTGGTTAAGCATTGAACTTCGGCTCAGGTCATGATCTCGGGGTTTGTGAGTTTGAGCCCCACGTTGGGCTCTGTGCTGACAGCTCAGAGCTTGCTTCAGATTCCGTGTCTCCCTCTCTGCCCCTCCCCCACTCACGTTCTGTATCTCTCTCAAAAATAAATATTTAAAAAAATTTTTTAAAAAGATGGATTTAGGATTCAAGTTGCTTCATTACATCTTTTCAAAGTAACCATTAGCACTGTAATGTAAAACCCAAATCCTAATAGAAGAAATTTAAGGAAGCCATGAAAAAAAGATGTCAGAATTAATATGCACTGATATGTATAAAATGACAATAACTGTCACCTCACTAAGCTTCTTAATTCACAAAAGGAAAGAGATTTCTTTCTTTAGTACAAATAAGTAGCTCATTTGTTGTTTTGTTTTTTGTTCATACTCTAGCCAGCTTTATTACTTTTCATAAGTAACCATGGCATTTCAGGCAGGACATGGGCATGCAATCATTAACAGTATAAAGCAATTTTCATACTCCCTTCTTCAACGGACTGCCAAAATCAAGGCCACTAGAAAACCCAATGAAGTCTTCATTTGATGCTCTGAAGAGGTAAAGTTTAGAGTGAGGATTGACACTTCACATTTAGCATCTTGTATTCAACTTTGCACAAGCCAACCTTGACTTTCAGGAAATGACGTGAAAATGCAGCATTATCCATCTGAGGATCCACAGGCTAAAAAGGGAATTCTTTTGAGGGGTGCCATCTCCATGGTGACACTGTAAAACCCAGATCGCCTGCCATACTGGGACTCATTTCTTGGGGTCAGGTTCCAACAGGTTTCTGGGTTTAAGGGAGTCAAGTCTATATTGAAGGCAGAGGGAGAAGAGGACCTAAAAGATGAATTTTAGTTTTTCCACCACAAGTCATGTGTGCCAAGGTGACTAATGTGTGTCAATGTCAATGAATCCCTCCTGCTGAGAACCAAGGGGAAGTTTCTCAAACCTAGAAAGGAATGGTGTTTTGCCTCATTGTATCGATCTAGCTTCAGAGATATTCCGTTAGGGACCTATGTCCTTCCCCTCAAAACAACAATGAAGTGTTCTGCGTGCTAATAACACAGCTTAAAAGTAAAAAAAGCTTCTGCATTTTTATAAAACTTGATCACAAACAGTATTTCAAATTGTGCAGTCCTCGCAAGTACACAGCTCTCCAACATGCGGACGTTTCACCCGGCATCGGCAGCACCTTCAGCTCTCTGTGCCGGGTCTGTTTGGGGAGCTCCATGCTCTGCAGGGTTATTCCCATCCTGGCTGGAATCAGCTTCCCCCTTTCCCTCAGTGGGTACTATGTCTCCCTCCTCTGCAGACACCTTCTTAGGTCTGGGCTCTGGCTTTCCAGGTTTACCAGATAGCCTTGCAGATCTCTGTGGCTCGTCCTTCACCTTGGCTTTATCTCCTTCAGAATTCTCTGCTGCCTTTCTCATGGGCATCATGCCCACAGGATGGGGGGGGGAGGGGGGAGTAGACACTGGACGCAGGGATGTAACAGCATGTGGGCTTTGGCCAGTCTGGGGAGGTTGGAGGGGAAGTGTCATTCTTGCTTTGTCTTCGAGCCCATTTACTTTTTAAATGAGCAGAGGAGAGGGAAAAAAATACGCAGAGGATTTCTCTTTCTTCCACCTTATTTTAGTAGCTGCTGCCCAGGAAAATAAAAAAGGAAGAGAAAAGCTCCTCTGGCCTCCACGGGTTCCTCCGAGGACCCCCCCACACACAGGGGTCCCTCCCTCATGTTCCATATCAAAGCCCTTGTTAGAAAATTAGAGTCGATATTGAATTGAACAGCACACTGAAACACAGATGTAAGATGTTACAAATAAAAACAACTTGTTTATATCATAGAGAGAATGTGTTTTACATACTTTAAGACTTCAGGGAAAATAGCTTTCAGAAGACATGTTTATTCACACAAAACACATTTATCAGCTCGTGTTAAATTGAATATAATCCCCTAAAACCAAAATTAATTCTTGCACTAGACAGATGACCCCTACCAAGTGAAACCCATATATATGCACCGAATAAGAAGATAATTCATTAGGACTGTCCAATGAATGCATACTTTATAAGTTTGTGTTCTATATACTTCACCATGAATAGGTTCACACATTAACATCAAATGACTTATCACCATGAAGAGGCTGGTGGTTTGAGTTTCTCAAATATATGTATGAATTATCTCAGGGGCTCAAAGACATGTGGTGGGGAGAGAGAGAGAGATTCAGGATGTTCGGATTGTCCATCTTTCTGAGCGATGTGGGGTAAACCAGTCAGAACACTTCCTCCTGCAGGTATCTGAAAGCCTGAACTCACTGTCTTAGGAACACTTCATCACCTCGTATGGCATCAGGTCCACAAGGCAGGTGGCTCCAAGGTTAGTTAACCCAGAGATTCAATGATACCGTGTCAAATCCCTATTCTTTATAATTTTCCTTCATCACTTTCCCAATAGGGGCTTTCTCCTCTCCAGTATTTACAAAGTACCACAACCCCAGATAACACATTCAGATACAAAACAATGCTAAAAGAATAGTATGTCACCATCTATCTTTTAAGAACAAGGAACATTTTTCCAGTGTCACCCCTCTAAGGAACACGGGCACAGCCATATACAGGGCTGGCAATCATGATGGGGTTCCCATGATCCACAGTGATGAATCAATACTGACCCTTTGAAGACAGATCTGTCTTCCTGTGTGTACAAAGATACTTAAGGAAAGCATGCTGGGAAGGAAAGAAGGAAGAGGAAATGGACATAGAGTAAGTAACCTATTATCTCTCAAATAAGTATAAATATATATGGACATGGACAGGTTAGGAAGAAAATTTCAAAATTCACAAACATTTTAAGAACAAACAGAAGGCTTTAAAGAACATCTGTGCATATTTATGCCTGGTGGACTTGCTTTGAGTCATCCCCCGTGCTCCCCAGGAGATACTTGATGAGTTCTCTACTATTAGGGATAAATCACTGGAAAAGATTGTAGAGAAGCCTCAGCTTATACATTTGGGACTGATTTCCTTACAGCCGGGCCTCTGACACCACCCAAAGAGACAGGTATTTAACCACAAATTGCAAATAAAGAATTGCCATTAAATGTCTCTTTCAGTCCACTTGGACCACTAGGATAAAATGCCATAAACTTGGTGACTTTATTAACAACAGAAGTTTATCATTTTCTCATGGTTTTGGAGTCTGGAATGTCTAGGACCATAGTGTTCCCAGATTCAGCGTCTGGTGAGAGTTTTCTGATTCACAGGTGGTATGTTCTCACTGTATCTTCACATGGTAGAAGGGGGCTCTCCGGGGTCTCTTTCAGAAGGGCACTAATCAGGAGGGCTCCACCTTCATGACATGGTCCTCTTCTCAAGCCCCCTCCCCCCCTTCTAACACCATCACATCGGGCATTAGAATGTCAACATATGACTAGGGGCAGGGGCGCATTGCATAGCTCTCAGTGTACAGTCCTGTCCTACTCCTAAACATCTCTCACTGGCCTGTCCTAACAGTACCTGAGACACATTTATCTTCCCTGACCCCAAACCAAACCATTCAGCCAAGTTTAGTATGCTGTAGCCATACTCACTTATTTTTAACCTCAATAGATAGAACATGACGTTTTGTGCCTCTCTGCCTTCCCACACTGCACCCTGCCCCCTTGGAAGAGCACACAGTTTCTTCTCCACCTGAAGACCAACTGGCCATTTTCTTCAAAATGGGGACATGTGCTTTGCTGCTGTCTGGCATCCACATTATCCCAAAGCATGCTGGCCCCCATTAAAAAAATTGCCCCCTCCCTCTATCTGGTCCTGTTGGCAACACAGAGTAAGATCTCTCCGTGATGTGGAAGCCAAGAGAGCCCCTGAACCCTGGCACAGCAGAACAGGAAACACAAGAGACCTTGTTTCTGGATATTTGGGATCTTCAGAGGAAATGCAAAGTGGAAATGGTCAAGGATCATTTCTCAGCAGAACTTCACCGCCAGCTGCACTGATGGGAACTCTCCACACAGGTGCTTTCAGTTGCAAGATGTTTCAGGCACTTGTCTCCAGAAAACTCTCTTGGGTGTCTGGCCTTTGACATGCCCTTGGCCCCCATTCCAGTTCAGGCTTGCTTCTGTTTCTTGACCCAAGAGCCACAACAAAATGCGAGGTTCACTCTTACCTCTCCTTTAAAGCCTACACCAAAGGCAGTAGCCACTCCTTTTTAACTCTCCCTTAATGTATTCTATGTATTCCACTCATAACATTACCACCGCAATTTTAGGAAAATGTGAGATGCTTGAAGACTAAAAATATATATTATTAATAAGCCTAATGAGACGATTTACATAGTGGAAAAAGCACTGTCTCTGGGATCAAAAATACTGGACTCACTGATTAGCTCTTTCATCTGCTGGTAGCATCATCTTGTAACCTCTCTGGTCCTCAGTATTCAAATATTAAAATGGAATAATAATGGAAGCCTTGCTGCTATAAAGATTAAACTACAAGATATGTAAAGGACTAGCAATGCGTGGGAGTCAAAAAATATTTTTGGAATGATTACATATGAAAATACAATCAGCTGTTGAAGAAAAAACCAGCCAATGTTCCAGGTCTAAGTACACTCATATTATCAATACATACCATCTGGTGTATGTATGGCTTTTCAGCTTGCAAAGCATTTTCACCTACACAGTTTCATCTAATGCCATTTTGCATCAAAATATGCAAGATGTCCATTTTACAAATGAGGAAATGAGGTTTAGAGAAGTTAAACATCTCAGCCAAAGCACAAATATCCCAATTAAAGAAAGAAGGGAATTGAGTATCGAACTTTCTGTTGTCTCGTCCAGCTATTAAAATGTCTGCAACAGCAAGTTCTTTTTCTCAAACTGGAATATGGGGTCTTTGAAAGTAGAGGTCATTTATGTTTGTGTGTCACCAACACATAGAAAGTGTTCAATAGCATTCAATAAGTGAGTGACTGAAATGGAATTTTGAAAAGGGAATAAAGATTTCAATATTGTGACTGGAGGCCCTAGCTCCAGAACCAGGACAGGCAGGGACCGCCCCTAACTTCACCTCCTACTACCCATACAACCTTGGCCAAAGCACCCAGCCTAATTTGTACTTTGTTTTGTCCTTGGGAAAGTGGAAGTAATAACCACATAAATTTTGGAGGAGTAATAATTCATGGCTAAAACACAGTTGGTGCTTAGAATAGAGTCTGGGATGGAATAGATGCTCAGTAGACAAGGGCTGTCACTCAGCCACTACTGCTGTCATTATCGCCATCAGGACTGGGTTGTATACTGTCTTAGTCAGCTTGGGCCACCATAACACATTACCATAAACTGGGTAACAAACAACAGAAATGGATTTCTCCCAGTCTAGCACCTGCGCGTCTGAGATCCAGGTTCTAGCATTACCAGATACTGGTAAGGGCCCTCTTTTCTGGCTTGTACATGGCAGCCTCCTTGCTGTGTCCTCTCACAGCAGAAAGGGGGAGAGAGAGAGTGTGAGAGCATAAGCTCTCTGATATCTCTTCTTATAAGGGTGCTAACTCCCTCATGGGAGCCACCCTCATGACCTCATCTAAACCTAACCATGTCCCAAAGGCCCCATCTCCAAACACCATCAGATTGGGAGTTAGGACTTCAACACAGGAATTTTTGAGAGACCCAAACATCCAATCTGTAACACGTAGCAATAGACATCCAGAATAAAGCAAAGGCTAAAAGTCTAGCTAGCCAGGAGGGACCTAGCAAATAGGTCAGGAGGAGAAGAGGTTAATCCTGGGGAATGTCCCCAAGAGACAGAAAGGGTCGATATGGTAGATGCAGTATATTCTGACAACCAGTCTGGAGTCTATAAAGCCACATCATTAACAAAGGCATCTCAAGCTAAAGAAGCTAGAAAATGCCACCTGCACTACTCTCTAATGAGCACCTTTATACATATTCTGTTATATGTAACATTTAGTATATATGATCACCAGGACTCCAAGGGCACAGGACATTCAGGGACCCACAAAGGAAGCGGGGATTATGTCATCGTCTCTTTGTTTGATTTATCAGCTTTCTTCTCTGACCCCAGAGACAACTGTACAACCTTCAAGAGCACGGAAGCCATTTGGCAAGAGAACAGGTTTGCTCTCTGCACATTTCTTCATTATGAATAAGCTATGGGCCCTCCTCCCTTCTCCTCTGCCTGATGGCCTCGAGGCATGGCACAGTTTGTAGTTACTCCACATCTCACCACAAACTCTGAGTTTCACTACAAAGAAGGCAAACATCTTCATGGTTGACTCTCAGTAAGAATTTCTCATAGTCCCAGCTTATTGTGGGGTGGGGTGGGGGAAGTCCCATCAACCGACAAGCAGACCAAGATAATTCTTTTCATGCTGGCACTATAATCCAAAGAGAATACCTCCAGGGGATCTTCAATG